GGTCTGGTGAACATGTGTCCAGTGTCCTTTAATTGTCTCCGGTGAGCGCTTACTCAACTCGCATATCAGCGTACTTTGATAGGCATTCAGAACAGCTGGCTTCGCAAGTTGGCTGGTGTCAATTCGGTCATAAAGTCATCGTGGGCGTCCGCCAAAGCGCATCCGCAAGTCAGCACATACAAGTGCATGCTCGGTGTCTAAACATGTGCTTCAAATCGAGCGACAGTTCTGGACGCAGCCTCTCCATCGGTAACTGATTGCAAATTGATCGATTTGCGTCTATAGCTGGTTCGAGGCTGGTGGTCGCCAAGTCAACTTCCGGGGGGTGCTGTGTCGGAAATTAGTGCTCGCAAGAAATAAGCGGGCACAAATGAAGTAACCGCTCACCATTATCATTACGGAGCCTACACCGTGTTAACCGCCCAGATGCATTTCCTTAGTGGATAATTTTTCAACTTGTGCATCCAGATCCTCAGCCAGCACAACAGTGTCCGTGCTTCGTCTGTGGCGAAGGAGCTGGGACAGTTGGCGGTAGAAGACATTCTTTACCGAATCATCGCTACAGTTTGTGGGCGCGTAGGCAGCGATGATGAATTGACACCTGTCAGTCCCGCGCGACTTCGAAGCTTTAAACGAGCCAGCCAGTCGGACCGCACACATCCGGCTACTGATTGGAATCCAATCAACATGAGCAGCTTCAGCCCGGGGACTCAGGGCAATGCCAACACCGGCTTAGCCGTTGCTCGAAGTTGCATCGTCACCGGATAGGCCCAATGAGAAAGTGCTGCTAGTGTCACCTGAAGGGGATCGCAGAGTGAGTACAGAGCTCGAGTCTTGCAGTCGGGTCTCTGATAAGCAGCAGATATCGATCGAGAGGGTCTCTAATGTTCGGGCAAATGCTGCCTGTTGACCAATCTGAAGCAACGTGAGAACATTGAAGCATGCCAATCTGAAGGACGATCGAGGGCTCCAAATGGAAGCCGATGAACTGGAATGGACCGCTTGTTTGGACATGGGCTCGTCGGCAGGAGAGTAGTGACGTTCCGCGTTCAGATGTGAGTTGAAATTAGAAGATAAACGCCTAGCATTGCAAGTTGGGGGAGGGCCAAGAATCGGGGGTTGAAAACTGGGGGGATATAAGTGAAGTTGAAACGAGACGGTGAGGGTGAAAATGCGTCAGAGGGGAATAAGAAGACGGGAAGGCTTGAACAATAGCATCCAAACCCCTATCCACCCTGCTCGATACAGCAGATAGCGCACCGTTGATTATCCTCTTCGGTGGCCAGAGCATCAGAAATCTGTTTGAAGTGATACTCATTGTATTGCGTGGGCAGAATACTGTCAGGTTGCCCAGGCCTAGACAGGAGAACGATTAGGGTTCTCAACTAAAGCCTTTGGTTCAAAAACCTTACCGCGTTGCAGCGCGTTTGGCTTTGGGCTACAAGGAGTACGTTTTAAGGAATAAGGTGCCACCCTCATTCCAACCCCCAACCTGGAGGACCAGGAGGCTGAATTTGTCCGGCCTCTAACCACTGACCAATCTGGTATGAGTGACCCTGAAGGTGGAAAAATGCACCACCCAGCATAGCTCAATGGATCACTGAGGCACACAAACCATCGCCTCACGGTAAGGTCCAGCCTCATGCATTTTTAGTACGGCTTCTCGGGAACGAATTCACTTGCTTCGGACAAAGGACCTTGCTTTCTGACGCATTTGCTACTAGCTCAGTTAATTGGATGACGAACAACATCCAGGCGACATCGGGCGGCTTCTCAGCCAGAAAGGACCAGTCTGTTTTTTGAACGAACTTGGACCTTATATCGTAATGTGTAACGACATAGCTTTCCACGTTGTTATCACGGATGTACTCCGAGTAACAGATGTATCGAAAGAGCAATATCTCGTGATCGCTAAGACCAAGTGGTGCCTCTATTCTCACGGTGTCGACCATTAATTCCTCGTTGGAGAGCACAATGTTCAAAATAGCGGGTGTTGCACCCGTTCGGAATCGCGTGGGAGAAGTGACATGGTTGTACAGAGGTACATCGGCAATCACTTCTTGTAAATCCGCCTTTAACTGTTCGCTGTACGCTGCTGGAACTTCGATTGCCTGCAGGTTGAAGTCCTCTACCAGAAGGACGTGACTGTATGGTAGTGCCAGGACTCGTTTCATCGCAGAAGGTGAACATTGAAGAACGGGGATCTATTGCTAGTAAACACACTTCACCGCGTCTTGGGTGCATACGACACCAAAGAGAATCGACGACTTTCGTTTCTGGGTCCTCAATGACATCAACATGCAGGTCCGATCGATAATATAGAAGCACTTCCCCTTCTCTGCTAGGTCGATCGTTTCGTATGGAAGTTATGTCGGGCAGTGCAATCTCAGCATCCGTGATCTCCGTGTTCAGCCATGTTTCGGTGACCATAACTGGGTCCCAAGGCGTGGTGACCTGACGAATACGAAATTCGGTTAGTTTGCTGAGAAGACTTTGTGCATTGGTTTATAAGCAGGTTAGGGCATCGGTGGTCAGAAGCGTGTTTGTGAATGCTGGTTTCCGGTGAGGTTCTATGCCGATCCTTGTGGGGTCGGCTGCCGGTCGTTTTTTGTAGGACCGATGACGCAGGCCCTAGGGCCAGTTCAGGTTGTTGCATAGAGCTCTGATCGCCAACAAGAGAGTGAATATCCTGTCCTTCTTCAGCTGTCGGTATGTTTTGACATTGTTTACATTCTGAGCTACACGGTGATATAATTGTTTTGGTAAGTTGCATGCTCAGGGTTACATTGTCTATCTGTGTCCCGGTGACTGTTGCCTTTCTACGTATTCCGGATGGTAGCACCTTACGCTTTTTGTGCCACAGTTTGGGCACATGTTCTATCATCTGTTCGGAGTGCAATGATACTTTCATCACTCGGGGACCAGACCCTTTGTTGTTAGGTGATAGCGGTAAGCTTAATGTCGAATTAGCGATAACATTTTCGAGTGAGAGCACTTCACGAATGAAACGCCGTTCATTCCAGTCACGCGCTTTTACCTCTAGCTCGCTTAGTGACTGGAGCGCGGGGACACCGTGAACAAGGATAGAATTGCGTCTTGTTGTTTACGGAAGTCATCTGGATTTTGTTTGCGTTTCTGGTGTTCGCTCCAAGGAACATCTGGAAATATTTGAACAGTGCATGTGGTGGTACCGAGGCAAGTGGTTGACAAGTGAACTGCCTCTGCATCATTACCTGACTGTAGTGTTACCTGGAGTAACCGCGGTTCACCGTAGCGTACGGAATTTGAGTGACGGACGAGACGCATTATACTGATGGTTTAGCTTGAACCCCTGTTAGTTGACACAGGGAGTCCCACTGTATTTTTTCGTTTAGTATCCTATCTTTTATGGAGTTCGCCCCGGATTCAGCCACATTAGAACATATAACAGTTAGGGAATTATGGTAGTGTTTCATGTTCTCCTTTTTGGAGGGAGCAGTGGCTGCTTTCTTCGGTTGGACAAATGATGGGGTCTTGAGTCCCGTGGTGGTATTGACAGTAGTAACTCGTTTAGCAGCGGGCGGGGTTGCAATGGGAGGTGATTCCGTCAAATGGGTAGCAACAACGGACGCGTATGTTGTCGGGCCTTTAAGAGTGTTTAGTGTGGCGGGTGATCCTGTTGTGAAATGTGTGGCGAACGCATCTTTATGAGCAGACGCTAGTGTCAGGGTGGCTAACTCTGGATCGTTAACTGTGTTGGACTGCAGCTTGCTGTTGAGCATTGAGTTCGAGGCACTGATTTGTCTCGTTCATGTGGGACAGCTTTCACGGCTGTTGTTTGCTCTACAGCCTATCGTATTTCCGCGCCAACAGTTATATATCTGACGAGTGGAACAGACGTACACTCAGTGCAGAACCAGAGAGAATCAGTTGTACTATTAAGCTTTTTTATCCGGCTGAGACTAAGGCGAGCACATCGAGAATGGAAGTATTTTCGGCAGTTTCTGCATTCTATTCCAAATCGTACAAGTTTTACACAGCTGTCTACGCCACAACGAACGTTTATTTCGGAAGCTTTGGGCTTAGCTTTCCGTGGGCAACCGGTACGTGTCATCGTGACTGTCAGGTCTGCGGAAGACGTTCGTTGCAAACTCTGCACAAGCATGCTGAAGCCAAACGCCGGCGGTCAAGCTGATGATCTGGTAGACACCTGTTCGATTGCAGTAGAACAAATCCAAGATGGCAGGCGCAGACGGCAGTTGGGCCAGTCAGTGAGATCTCCGACAGTAGGCGGTTAATATCCACCAAAATCGGAAGAAAGACACTTGCACTAATGAATCAAGAAAAGTGTTCGCCATTTTCCTAGTGTACTCTGGTTTAAAATGATTTTAACTAGAATCCAGCGCAACCTACTGCAAATTCACTAGTGTTATTGATGATATAATGCTTGATTTTGGAGCATGTAATTGTCGGCTTCCGTACTGACTGTCTAAATAGCTCAGCTAGAGTACGTTTTAATAGTTCACTGGTGAATTTAAGTACCAAATGCGTAGAAGACAAGAAGTCTATAGATCTTTTTTGTATGGGGTACATTGCAATAAACTGCTGCTCAACGATGTAACCAAGTTTGCTTATTCCACTTTCGTAGCTATTAAGCTGGCCACTTATAATGCTATTCAAAAGTGAGCAGTTTCTAAGGTTGATTTAGTTTTACCAAGAAGTCTGCAGTGCAAAGATGGCTAGCGAGGTCATACCTGAACAGTTGTCCATTGAGACTGTCCCCTCCCTTCCAGATTCCAAGATAAGGTTAAGTGATATGTGAATGCTTAAGTGAACTTTTGTAACTCAAAAACGCTGGCTACCGTTCCCTTGTGAGTTAACGTATGAAGTCATGTCGAAGGGACGGTGGGTCAGCAAGGCATCCAAAATGTTCAGAATAAAACGAGTAAACTTAGGCAACTTCGCATTTGAGCAGCTGACATTGTGTTAGCACTACAAAAATGAATCTTCCGAGAACTAACCTGCAATGCACTGTGATTGGACCATCTTGTCCAAATTGCTCTTTTGTCTTGTGGACCTGTCCAAGAAATTCGATGAAAACTTCGCACGAGCTGGGTATCCCGTGCTCTGGCCAATCTGTGAACTGAAATTGGCGCAAAGTGCGTGATTGGCCGTCTCGAGCATCGGTAAGTTTGAACTCGCGTAGAGTGTAATTTGGCATGTCGTACTCGACCATTGGATCAACCACGTAGTATTGGTAGCGAGCAGATCTCTCAGCCGGCCAGTATGGATGACAGCACTCCTATCGTGGAAGAAATGTAAAAAATACGATTAGTTTTGGATGAAACAAGCTTTTTAGTAAGTTCTGGAATAATGGTTTTAACTTATTATGCCAGATGGAATATCGATAGGGTAGAGATTATCGCTAATCCAGTGCTCCACATGACAACAAACCGAACTGAAACTGTTCACAATAATGACACTGATGGTTAACTTGGAGAGTGTTGGCAAAACAACTGTATTCTGGGAATATCAAGAATGATAATGTGCATGGCTCAGGTGTACAAGAGTCTGTTTCTATGATAGGGACAGCTCATTGGGCACAATATGAGCATACTCATGTAAAGGTGAGTTAAGGATTAAGTCTTAGCTGAGTTGCTAAGATATTTTGGAATTCACGATTTTTTCGGTGCTGGTTTGTTTCAGTAGCTACTGATTTTTGTTCCATCCTAGAAGCATTCACCCGGTGGTCCTCTCGATGAAAAATGGTTTGTATCGAGTTTTGGTTAAGGTTACTACACATTTACTGCGCTTTTTTTCAGCATTTACACCTAGCGCACCCATATACCTAGCCCGTTCACCATTTGTCCCTTACCAAATGTAGCTAACTTGATTACTTTTTACAACATATACAACGGTTTATTAATGATAAGTTAAACACCCAGAATAAACCCTCTCCCGTTACCACTTTTTACATTTAAATAAATTGATAGGTCGAATTCCAGTGATGAACTACACGAAACGGATCTCAGTAGGCTTCCAAATATGAATACCTTTCAAGGAACGAATTCAGGACCGAGCGGCTGATCAACGCATCAGCGTCAGGACAGTCTACGTAAGTGCCGTTTTATATTTTATTGTGCTGATTACATGAGTGGAACATGGCATTTTTCTTCCTTGAACATCCATTTCAAACCTTACCTGAGACCATCGCAACGGCATATGATAGTTTGCGTACTTCTCTGGTGCTTTCTAAGCACTCTGACAGTATGAGCGCCACGCAATTTTCTTTCACGATGGGATAGCGCCACTCGGTGTTCAGGGGTTTGCTACCGCCCACTTAATGCCAGGCAGTTATTGGTCAGAATTGTTTAACCTTGCCAACTTCCACCTGTAGATGCTGCGGTCGCAGATGGTCTGAAAGCACACAGAAATGCTTCCGACTCATAAGAGGTCGCGTGTAAAAGTTTTTAAGCCGATCATAGGGAGATTTCACAAGCACACTCTCCAGCTGGAACTACTACCAACTGCCATGTCAGGCCAGTGATTACTATAGATAGAAGCAGCATGGTGAGATATTTTTGTGTAGCTGCATCTAAAACCCCTCAGGTATACAGAGCAATGGTTTTGGCTATCGATTCCGATATTGCATATGGACAAAGTGTTTGTCAAGGGATATGTTGAATTTCAACACCGACGTTGCTTCAACCACGTGCGACAGCAGGCTGTTCCATATATTCACCACGCTCTGTACAAATCATGGTTGGTGATCGACCCCCTTCAAATCCAGTACTACAAGCTTGTACCGGTGTCCTCGTGTGCTGCTTGGTGAGTGCATATGGGTAGTCACCAAGGTGTAATATCCAGTGCGTCAAGATGAGGTAAACACGCACTCCCCGATAAGATGTGGTGTAAAGCCCCAGACTTCTGCATCGGTCTTCGTAAGGCACCGCATGTAAAGTGCGTATGAGCCTGGTGGACACATGTTGTACCTGCTCAATCCCTTGTACCCCACCCCGGGTGAAAGGATATCAAGCACCTGAACCATACTCTAGCATTGGTCGGATGATTAAGACGAAAAGGTGAGTGGCAATCTCTTCGCACCAAGTTCTGAAGCTGCGCTTGAGTGCCCGAAGCACAGCAAGTACGCTTTGGTAATGCTTACTCGTGTTGTGCACGGACTTTAGGTAGCAACGCGAGAGTACACGGAACTCTTTCATGACATCCGTGGGATGTAACAGCTCACAGGCAACAGGGTAGCTTCGACTGTATCCATCCTTACCCAGGCTCCTGAATAGCGACTTGACCGGGTTTATGGGGAGGTGGACCTCTGCAGACCACATGGAAAGGCGGTCAAGTTCACGCTGAAGCATTTCGTAGTCATCGGGCGCACTGAGTACTCCCCACTGACCTGCAAACAACGCACAAGGGGAAGCTGGGGCACCTCGTTTATATGGATCAGGCATAAAATGATCCCCAGTATAGTGCCTTGGAGCACGCTACTGATAGAGGGATACCGATTGGTCAGATGGTTGTTGACCTGGACCTAACACTTTCGACCAGAAAGAAAATTCCTTATCCATCGGTGCATCGAGTCTCCAACTTCGCACGACCTCAGTCTGTGGAGAAGGACCTTTCTTAAGTCAACCTAAATGACTTAGACCGAATTCCCATAGTTCAGTGCTTGCAACCATTATTACTTCGTCAAGGGCGGATTGGTGAAGCATGAGCGACCTCTCAGGAAACCACGCTTTGCGGGTGGCAAGAGGCTTTTCGACTCGAGAAACCGTCGAAGACCCTACTTTACTATCTCAAATATTTTGTCGGAAACAGCAGTCAAATAGATCGGCCGGTAGTTGTCCACTTTGCAGAGATCAACGTGTTTCGGTATTGGCTTTGAGACTGAGAACTTCCAGCCACTCGGTAATAAACCCAGACAGCGACCTGTTGAACCGCTCAGTCACAGAAAAAGAGATACTGGCCGATAAGGACTTGAGGATAAGTAGTGGATTCCATCAGACCCTACAGGCTTGGTTCTGTCAAGACCGACCAGTAGCTTGCGTACATCTTCAATGCTGCAATCCAGGCTGTCAAGTTCGGCTGAGGCGGTACCCATTGAACTTGGTACAAACACCTGTACATTTGCAAGTACGGAAGCGAAATACGCTGCCAATTTGCATGCAGGTTCCTAGCTCGATGTTAGGGGCTGTGCATTCGAGCCCTCCAAAACTGGCGCATTGCCTGCAAGCCCTGGCGTCGCTTCACGTAGGCAACGTTCCTTTTGGGAGCCGCTTTTGCTGCGGCCGCAAGTTTCCCTTCGAAGTTTCAGCGCCTTTTCTGTTTTGAGTCAAATGCTGTTACTGGAATCCGTCAAACAGACCTTCATATATCTCACTGCCATGTACTTCAGACCGCTGAGCAAAAGGCTAGATATATAGTATCTCAAACAAAATCTCTCTCTGCGAATGGGCAGCAAAAAGTAGAATGCGCGTTCGAGATCACATCGCTGATGCGTTTTCCATTTACAGTCTTTCTCTCTTCTTGCAACGCTCTTCTTCACTACCTAGTGAGCCAGAAATGGCTGTCAACTTAGAAGCAGGTGCTATCAGTGTATGCAACTCGTCCTTCAAACCAAGAGTCTTCATTCTAAACATTGCATGTTAACTGAAGGAGAGTGAAACCTAAGCTATTGTACCTCAATACACAAAATTAGATATATGAAAAAAGCGAACAACTAAGCATCGCGAACTACAAATAAAAAACATTGATATAACGTTTAGTATCATATTAGTCATCGGGTGTGAGGTTGTGCTCAGAGGAAGAAGATAAGCGGTAGTGACTCATTTTAAAATCGTCCATACAAATTCCACCCTTTAGATCCAATTAGTCAAAAGTATGACACTCAATTTTCTCTATTTTTACTTGATGCATGCTGTATTGCCAAAAACACATACACGATATCAGCATCATTAACCATGTTCCTAGTCCATGGTTCCGGCTCTGTTGATAATAGTGACAGTCTTCGCTTCTCTGGCGATACTGAGTCCATGATTCGAAATATTTGTGGCGCAGACATTGCCCTCAGTAAACAAGCTGAAAGCGATCTACCCGACTGGATAGTACTGAGCAACCGCGTGCTCGCGTTTCGAACTCAGATCTCTATTGGAGTTAATTAATAATCATCGTCTAATAATAGGGTGCGTTTTCGCCGCTTCGGTTTATGCCCACACCGAATGCTGCTCGGAGAGTATGAAGAAGAATAAAATCGTCGTCTCTTATCCTTATGATCAAAGACACTAACATTAAGATCGTTGCTGGTGATATGATTATTTAACGGGGTCAAATTTCCAAACTCATAACAACGCTTGGGAGTACGTTTCGTGGTCATTGAGCACCGTGTTCAATTCCTTTAACTGCGCATCGGTCTATAGGTTAGATGCACTGCTCTCTGGCACAAACGTCTACATCGTGTCGACTGCTGCCCTCCGATAAGTTGGACATTAGTTGATCATATTGCCTCTAGTTACCAATCGCGCACACCAATTTAAAACCTGAGATCCGTTGAGATTAAGTGCCTAGATTCCTACTAAGCCGTAGTGTGCAGACGCATGGTGCCTAGTTCTCTAAATTCAGCGTACTAGCCAACTCCAAAGCTTCTAACATGACCTCGTGGTTCAAAACTCAACAGTATCATGACGAACTGGTCCTCTGGTTGTCAGTGATGATGAGGCTGTTGAGCATAACACAGTTCAAAATTGTCTCAAGTGTGTTAATGTTTTTGACGCCTGTTGTACGCGTACTTGGATATGTTTCTAATGTGAATATAATTGGGATATGGATCAGTTTGATAAACACCTAAATAATTTTCATTAATTACTCGGGAACGGAGGTGGGGGCAAGAGCTCGTGAGCTGGAGAAAGCCAGTGCTAATGAGAGAAGTCACATATAGCTTAAACTTATCCGGGGCTTGGTCCAAGGAGGTATTGAGTCGGTAAAACAATAGCGGAGACGGTCGAATACTTGCTCCGTTTTCAGTCGCACCAAATAGGTTGTTCGGCGAAACATTTTGAGAAGTTCATTAGGCGTTCTGTAGCGTTACCCTTTGCTCGCTCATCTGGGCCATCACGAAAATTTGATGTCACGGTTCAATCTTCGGAAACTAATCAATATAATCTCCCACTGTTGAAAAAAGACTCACGGACCCGATATCTTACTTCCCCTGCACTGATTGATGGAGCTAACTCACTAGTGACTAGGCTGGTCACTCGATCCAACACAGTATGGGACACTAAAGTGCGGCAT